TGTGGTTTTGCGGCAGTGTGCCTTTGCTGGCGTTACTAAGGTTTCGTCTTTCCACACGATTCTTCTTTGCAACTCAGATTAATTCACTTCACTTGCTTATTCACTAAAATCGTCCTGTTTCCTTCTGATTTGACTAGACCGCAAACGACAAGTGGAGCTTGGTGGGCGACTTTAGATAAGCTCTTGGATATCGTCCCCTTGACACTTAGATGGTCTCTCACTTGCTCCGGAATGCATCTGCAAATCGTTACACCCTAACAGACGATTGACAAAACTGTCTACCTTTGGCTGATGATGATGAACGATTGCCAGAAGCGATCAGATACAGATAGCAGATCAATTAAATACCAGAGGTAATAAGGGGCTTAGAAAGTTTTGCAGTATCACCGACGATATACTGGTTTTCATCAAGTCGGACCTGTGTACATCCGCAGCGATCTCAAAAGATTCTGCTATCTGGATGGTAAGCTTACTGGAGAGCGGAAGATACTCGGTGTATGCGTTGCAGGACTTCCTGCATCATCAAAGCGTACCATAGTACAAATAATGCTGAGAAGTCAGTGGTGCCCTTGCTTTAATTGAGATGGAGTTTATTGATATTTTTGAGAAGGGCCCGAGCAGAGGTCTGCTGTTGCTGAGATGAATGAAATGGTAAAATAATATTAAATGGCTTTTTAATATTTATATGCTTCCATTAAATATTGAAAGCCCAGAAACTTATGTTTATCACAAATGAGCTTTACCTTCGCAATCTTAACAGAGTGTGCCTCCTTTTGAAACCAAAGTACAAACTCTTAGCTAAGAGCTCGACTTAATTGAAATATGAGTCACTATGATCCTCCAGCAATAAGACTTTAGATATAACTTATTTGGGGCAAAAGGAAAAATTAAGGGACTATGCGCTTCAAATTTTACAAAAGAAAATAAAAATCCGGGCACCTTAATATACACTTTTTTTTAATATTTTCAATAGTTTTTCAAGCTAATTTTTTTAACAATATTGTTAGGGCCTTAACTATTCCATATAAAACAAACTTTTAAACTATATACAGAATTTAGAAAAAATCACCAAATTTTAATCAAAAACTCGAACTTTTTAATCGGAAACTTTAGAAAATATTTGTTATGCAGTTTTACAGCCTGTTAACTCTTAGTATAATAATTGTTTTTTTGCGAATGGTCTTGCACATTTTGTTCCATAAGAAATTCATCACGAAGAAGAAGAAGTAGTTGTAACTGCTTACCCAAAAATTTTCTTAAAAAACTGGATTAAAAGGTTCAAAATTTTGGTAAAAATTTTTTGAATTTCCCACATACTCCTAAAATGATAACGTTTGATTTACATATCGTTAACTTAACGTTAAATTGTGTCAAGTCCATTTATTTCATTTATTCAGGAGAGATGAAATATTGATGTAGTTTCGCATTATCTGTCATTCTGCAACAAAAACTAAATTATGAAATTAGTCGACTTGGCACCTTTCACATTTAGGTAGCGATATATGGCTTCGGTTAAGGAACAACAAGGAACAATATTTTTCTAAAAAAATAAGAAACCAATTTTAGCTTGAAAACCTATTTAAAAAAAAAAACACCATTCAAACAGTTTTGACCATCAGTGTCTGATGTTGAGATCTTGTGATATCCGAAAAAGAAATCATAAACTTTAGTAATTTTTGTATGCACTTACCATTTTTCCATTCAAATCCTTAACAAAACTTGTTTCAAACATAAACCGAATTGGCGAGGATTAAACCCTTAAGCGAAACAAACTAAATTTTTAAACAAAAATGCGGCCTAAAAGCTTTGTACGTAGGTATTTAACTTGCAAACAAAAACCAGTTTGAGTGGTTAGCGAAACAGCTACTTTAAAAAAGTGCAAAGCATAATACGCGAGTGAAAAGTAAATAAAATACAATAGGGGTATTCTCTGAGTCATGCAAAGCCCTTGCACGGTGCAAGGATTGCACGGTTTGCAAAGCTGTCCCATACGAAAACCGGTTTTTACCGTGCAATCCGTGCAATCTATGCACCATGCAAGGGCTTTGCAAGACTCAGAGAATACCCCTAATATTTTCAGTGCAACGTTTGTTGTGCTTATTTATGTGGCCAAAACAAACAAACACCTCCATACGGGCGTATGTACATTCACGATGTAGTGTACAATGTTAGGCGCTTATGTACTCGCGTATTTGGCAAACTGGGGCAACATTTTTAAATTCACATACGCAGTTAACTTGTCAAAAAAAAAGCCACCCACAGCACTTTCTTCTTTCTCTTTTTTTTTGTATTTACATATATATGTATATATGTATTGTTCTTCTTTTGTATTTCCAACCAGGTGAATTGTACTGCGCTGGCACTTTTGACGGTTGGCTCTGTTGGCCGGATACAGCTGCTGGCACTTCCGCCTACGAACGTTGCCCGGAATTCATATTCGGCTTCGATCCGACAAGTAAGTTTTCAACATCAAAGCAAAATTTAAGTAACAAATGAAATATGCGAAAGAGCATACAAGAGATCGTATTTTTTTTTTTTAATAGTAGGCATGTGCATATGTGTGTGTGTATGTATGCATGCATGTAGCAGGTATAAGTAATATTTATGTACATACATAAGTGCGCCCATACTTTGCGCAAAGAGGAAATTGCAAAAATGAAAAAGGAAAAGGAAACTGGCAGCTGGCAAGTTTAAACTCGACCGATTACACGCTCAAAACGGCTCATATAAAACTGTCAACAGCAATTTATAGTGAATATACAGATATACTTCCCTTGCATATATATGTATGTAGTACAATGCAGCAGTTCATTTACCACTCGAGTGTGTGTGTGTGTGTGTGAAAATATAAAAACTCATTTTGTCTCCTTGCGCTTATCACTTCGTCCTTGCTGTTATATACATACACTGTGTGGGATGCGCATTAAAATGAAATGAAAACTCAACCGCCATCAGCAGACCAGCAGACAAGTGGCAGAAACTGAAATGAAAATAATATACGAAATGGGTATGCCAATTCCTTTTCATTCAACAGAAAAAAAAAAAAAAAACGAAAAGGGAAATCGAACAAAATGGCCTGGGCTGGGCTGGGTATTGCCAATAGCTAATCCGTTATACCGAAACAAATCCGCATAGCAAATCCTCAATGATAGCAAGCATAAACCGAAATAAATCAGGAACGTTAAGTAATTATTTTAAATATATTCTCCTTTCGCTGGAAACGTATTGAGTTCGGTGCTATGGGTGTTGTAGTTGAGCTTCGGAAAAGTACCAGCAGTTTATACTTCTCAGATGTAATGAATTCATTTATCTGTTTTGCGATGCTTATTGCCTTTGCCTAATTCAAACTGTTTCGTTTAATCCCACGTTTATTTGCGTCTAACGACCCAATTCTAAACGTGATTTATTTTTTTTTAAACATGGCAATTTGATTAATTTGCTACCGAGGTTTAATATATCGCACACCGTTTTCAAAAGAGTCACAACTCAAAATTTGGCATTTTTGAGATTATGCGCTAAAAGTGTACACAGAGCTTTTATTAACCTTGCAGCAAAAGCTGGAGAAATTTTTGTTATAATTTGTTTAAAAAAAAAAACTTTAAGGTAAAGTCGCCCATGCTCATATGGTTATTATGTGCTAAGAAATAGTTTTTCGCATTTTCTGACAAACGTATTATTTTGAGTTGTGACTCTTTTCAAGGCGGTGTGCGATATGTACGTATGGTAAAATAAATTAAACATTTAATCAAATGAACTAATTTAATTTTAATTTACTGATTGATGATTGGTAATTGAATTATTTCCTGGAGGTTTTTCTCTTTATTGAATTCTTTCAATGCCAGGAAATTAGGCTGAATTAATTGTTGTGTACAGTTTACTAATCTGGTATGTTACTTATTTAAAATGTGGAAAGTGTCTAGCTGTTGGGAAGATAAAATTTAATGGAGTTCAAACTGAACTAAAATTATGGAGTTCTGTGTGAGTTGATTCACTACATTCATAGTTTAAAGAGTTGGATAATTTTGTTGTTAGACAGTACTTGGGTTTTGTATACATTATTTTCAGCAAAATTTCAAAGGTTAAAGTAAAAATGTATTAAGTTTTATTTACAGGGTAACGGAAAATTAACAATAGATGCTTATTGAATAATCGAATTTAAAATTCTCACAAAAGCAGGTCTAAATAGCGAAAACTCAATTAACTTAGATATAAATAAGTCATTAAGTTCCTTTAGGGCACGCGAAATAGGCGCATTACTCGCAAATTTACTCCTGCAGTTATCAGCATAAGAAGGATGGAAATTACGCAGACTTTTTTGCGGAACATTAAAGCTAATCCGCTCAAGTGAAATTGGGCAACCGATTATGACATTAATTATATTGAAAATAAAAGAAAGAGAGAGCACTGACCTTCTCTTTTCCAAAGGACTTAAATTAAGTAGCAACAGAAAATTTTTTTGATCCTTCTCAATCCTATTTATTTTAAAATTTTTTCTTAGCTTACTTCGATTCTCTACAAAAAAGGTCCATATACCAAATTATGTAGGACTAATACTTTCGAGGATACCTGCAATTTTAGTAAAAAAAAAATTTATTAATTAATGTATTTATTAATTTTTATTTTTTGATCACATTGAACTTTGATGGACTTGGGCGAGCCTAAGATATTGACCGAAACTCGGCATCTTTCACACAGACTGTTTTTAGAGCATAATTCACCAAATTTTTGCTAATACCAATAAAAATTCTAAAAAAGCGGATTTTCGGCCCACGCTCATGTACATAAGTATGTATGTATGTATGTATGTAAAAATCGATTTTTTAATAGAAACTAATGAGAGAATAAACAAACCCCAAACCAAACCACAAGCCATGTATATTTGTACTCGCGTAGTATTAAAATGAGAACCCTTAACAACATGGGCAAACAAAAACAGCAAAAACAGTGCGCACAGAAAAAAACACGAAATGTAAACCAACGAGCTGAGTGCTCAGCAAAACAAGAAGTTGCCAACCATAGTGGACAAAAAAAAAAAATTACCGCCTGTAGGCTAACACCTTAAGCGCTTTTACGTTATGTATATGTACGATTTTTTTGGGTGCAATTGTCTTTTCTTCACTTCGTTCACTTCCACAAATTTGCCTCCATTACATTGTTGGAAATGTCTGCAGGATATGTAAAATTTGGTAATTATGTTGATGCTTCCTACTGCCTGCTGGGGTGACCCAGCTTGTACAGCAACGGCGACCAGCAGAGAATGGCAAAATGCCTAATTGGCAAGCAGTTCACAGCGAGCGAGCGTTTTTGCTGCGGTCTAACTGACAAAGGTCGGATGCAGCATACAAACCATGTAAAGCAGAAATGGTTCATGGCTTACATTACACATATGTTTTTTTCCTTGTCGTATATGTTTTTCTTTCACTTACAGCATTGGTTCCTTTTATGCACGAATGTGGTATACTATAAAAAAAAAAACTAAAATAATAGGCATTTGTAAGACCATATAAAACCCAGTTAAATTACAAATAAATAAAATAAAAATAAACAAACAAAATAAATATGTTGATTTACGTTGTATTACGTATTTCAATAGCCGCTGCAGCTAAAACCCAGCAAAAAAATCAATGATTTTTTTTTTGCAAATAACGTTTAGTCTAAAAATTCAATAATGAGTTATGATGCTTTTTTTAATTACCACTACATTTATAAGTATTTTTCGCCCACGTAACATCTTGGCTTTCTTAACGAACCAATTACTAAACATCACAGAATTTGATGGAGATCCACCATTTACAAATGAAGTCATCAAGGTAGTTAGCAGTGAATGGGGTTAATAATTTTGAAAACCACAAGTTCTAAGTAGAAGTCAAAACATTATTTGTTAGATACTTCGTCTATTTTTTTGCCGTTGATTAAAAACTTTTATTTCTTTTGTCAATCTTATTAAATAAAGTGGTCACTTTTACTTCGCAACCTAATTTAACTCCCTCGGTTTGAAATGAGTCACGTTGTTATGGTTTTGCCCGTTGTCCTTTTTTAGGTTTTTTGTTGCCTGTTTTCGCGTTATTTGTATGTAGTTAGTACGTGACATTTGCGCGTTTCCATTAGCGTTTTAGTTTTTATACGTGGAAAACTTTTTACTGTAAGTGTTTTTACTTAAAAATGTGCATTCGTGTCTCCATTTACCTTAACATATGTATAAATATGTATGCATGGAGGATTTACATATGTACTTCACATACTTTTCGGCATTAAGGTGTTCGATTGAATGGAAAACAGCACACATGTGTAACTTGATCCTATAAATTCTCGAGCCTATTTTAGGCAATATTTTTTATTTTAACTTTACTTTATCTCTCAAGGTTAGCTTAGGTCAGTTGGGGTTAGTGAGAAGTTTCTTAGGCATTTCTTATAAGGTCCATTGCATTGCCACTCAATCGATTTTTTATAGAACATTAACTGAATCCGAAGAGAATTCTGCAGACGTCACATGTCTACTCCAGAGGTATGTTGTTGAAATAGGAATCAGGGTGTTTAAACCGTGGCCTTGCGAAAGCAAGGCAGCTGCGAAGAAAAAGCTGGATGGATGAGACGATAATCAGGGACCCGTACTTGTATAACTTTTATAACAAAAGTAGTTAAAAAAAAGTAATTTTGGACTTTATTTAATTGAAATACAATAATCGGTCAAACCGCACTTTATTTTTTTTTTAGTTCAGTATTAACAGTAAAACTTGGCCGAACTAAGGGGGCATTCCTCGAAAAATATTTCACTTAAAAATGTTATTTAGTTACCATAGAACAACCCTAGGGTCAGGTATTTATATGAATTTGTTTTGTATTAAATTATCTATAAACAAATATAAATAGGTGGTAATCTTCATTTAGATATTTCTGTTTGAAACCTATGTCAGTCCTCTTTCATTTGGTACCAAATACCTTTCATTTGGAAAAGCGGTTTGGTGATTATTAGGAAAGAATATTTATTTTGCCTTAAACACTATTTGGTCGAGTTTAACTGTTGTAACTGGATTAAAAAAATGAAAGTCCGGATTTTTCAGTTATTATTGGAACTTTTCCTAAAAAGTTCGAAAAAAAGATGCAGGATTCCTATCTAGGAAGTCGTGGGATCAAATTTTTTTAGAGAGAATTTCCTGAGTTACGACAGTTAGAAATTATCTCAAAAATTTTGTCCAAAATAAAGCTTATTTTAGATCAAAAAATAATAAAAATTGGAAACTAAGTGTTAAATTCGACCCAAAATATAAAAATAAAAAAAACTATCGTACTAGAAATAAAAAATATTAAAAGTATTTACCGCTTACCTTCGGTACCTGCTATTTACCCATATTACACTTTTGTATAGAAATTTATTCGAATTCCTTCTTTTTAGCAGTCACTTGAATTGTAAGTGACGAACTCACCTTAACATAAAATATTTCCTCCAACAATACC